AAAAAGTTTTTAAAAATGGGAAAATAATAAAAAAGTAACTAAAGTGTACAAAGGTAAGTGTATTGATACTATAAACAATGACGTGTGTCATGTTTCATCATCGTTTCCGCTTGTCCGCAAAAATGAGAGGTTAAAAAACTCTCTGGCTTCACCCCCCCCCCGGAAACTTCCTGGATCCGTCCCTGAACACAATCCATGTACCACAGATATTTTGATCTAGCAGTCGCACAGTCTATAGGCTGCTTATGTCGGCTGCTTATGTCAGTCATTTCAAATGCTCTGCATTTATGTCAGATAGAATTCTGCAACAATTTAATATTATATTAAATCGCATTTCATGTCACGTCAGAAACGATTTATCTGTTAAATACTTACCTTAGATATGGAGATATGTTGACTTATTTAATTGCATTCTGAAGCTATGCATCCTGTGTGGTAATGTCGAATATCACATTGACATGATTAGGATCTATAATTAAAGCGAATTTCGCCTGGTATCATTAGAGAGTCGAGAATCTGCTGATTATGTTAGCAACAGTTATTCAGTCAAAGCTGCATTCTGGCTTGTAATACAGCTCATAAACCAATAATGAACGTCAATTATGTTTACTCGAATGACTAAAACTGGATATGAGAGTGTGCACTCTATGGCCGACATGTTTCACAAAATCAAATTCATCAACGAAGTGGCTGTACAGTGGAACGCCGCTATAACGAACACGACGGGGTCCACACCAAATGTCGCAGCTTTCTCGAAACACGTCTCTGATTGCCTCATACCTTTTATTGTACATATCGCGTGTGTTTTATAATCGCATTTTTTGCTTGGTATAGGCCCTATCTTGCCATCGTTTAAGTCTTTGGCCGTGTCAGAAACAGACTTCAGAGGTAGGGCTATTGCCTCCCGGCGCGTCTCTGCGTCTTTCCCGATGGAGGGAAGACCTAGACCTTGCTTTAACCTTAGACAACCAAATTTTGGTGCAGCCAAAGAGGTAAGGCTATCAGAAATGGTGCATCCCTGGAGTGTGTTGCAGCTTGTCACTTCCTCCTACTTTCTACAAAGGTGCATGGATTTTGTGGAGGGCTTTGACAGTCCATGTCATATAAAGGGTGAAGACCGTAACAGGATTGACGTGAAGGCTGTGCCATGTGGCATTCCATTCCGCAAATGTTCCGCAAATTTATTGGTTCAAATATGGGCGGACTAGTCTAGTTTTACCCGGTAACGGCCCTCCAAATGATATCTATCCCAGTCGACCTAGGTCCATTAGTACAGGCAATGATGGGTCGCATGACTTGCTTTGAAATATAACAAAAAATAACCGAGCGATCAGCCGTTCAGAAAGCAAAGAATAGTCATTATAAAATCCGTTTCATGTTGGCCAGAAATAGGATTATATTGGTACCTAAAAACTGCATCATTCTTACTTGAACACAAGATCCCTTAAAACTGCGATAGCCTACTAATGTCGCGCGTGGAAGTATACGTTTCAAAAAGTGAACTTGGGTGCCGTTCATGTTTCCATAATTTCTTACGGGGATGAAAGGAAATAAAGATCACCAGTCTACGTGAACAAAAAAAAAATGAAATTCACCCCCGTCCCCTTGTTCCCCGCACTGGCAGTTTTCTAACCTCCTTTTAAAAAAATCCAGGCGACGCTTTTGCAAGAATTTGACGTGTAGCCCCACATTTTGCATCACATGATGGTTCGTAGTGATGGATCACCCCTACAAATGTAATCAAGATGTTTTCGAAAGGCATTCAGGAGGTGCCACTTTTTCACTTGCTTGACAACTGTTTGCTAAGCCATTAATCACTGGGATTCCTTTTTAGAAATTAAAAGCCAACTTACAATATCCGTTTGAATGATGTGTGCAAATGTGGTTTTCCGAGGCAGAGATTTAATCAAATTGACTTTTTCGACGTCGGAACTTAATTTTGTGCAGTGAAATTAAGGATGACATTCTCGTTAGGCGATCCTGACTGTTTTCTTTTTCCGGCCAGCTAGCTGTACAACAGTCCGATTAATACAAATAAAAAGGAAAGAAAAGGCGATTGACTGATGGCGGAATTGTCGGAATATATTGCGATAAGATCGGCGTATCACAGAAAGATCAAGCCATTGCCCATGTACTTGTGGGGTACATGTATTTCCTTTGTTTTTTTGTACAAAAATTCCAAATCACTGCCATTTCAACCAAATTCAGTTTCCTGGGTTAAAATTTCGACCGTATATTTCTTATATAAAACACTTTAATTTGCGACACATGAATGGCACTTGAAAGTTCCTCCTTTTTGAGTAAATTTTAAAATTTTGTGAAATTCTTGTGGGTTACCACTCACAAGGATCAAAACTGTACAAGCGCAAAATAGTGTGGCACCACATTCTTAGTTCGCCATTTAATTGCTCCATGCACTGGTAAGGTGACGTAACATTTTATTCACAAGTGCACTTTCTTATGGAGCCAGTGGGAAGGCACAGCCCACTGAGCACCATAGGAAAGCACAAGCTAAATTGTGCTGGAGGCTTCTCAGGCGCATACGAAGGTCAGACGCTTCGGAATGTAGCAGTCCTGCAGTTCCGGTATTACGAGACCATACCAGGAGAATTTCCTCTCTACCCCGAAGATGTCAAAATTGTAAGAGCTTGTCTCCGTTAGCATTTGATTTTGAAGATGGGTCATTCTAATTCGGGGTCCAAAGGTGTGACATTTTTAGTCTTTGTAACACCTAAACTGTGTCATTTGACACGGAAATATCACTGAAATTGACTTCGAACTAGTTTGATTGTTTCGCAGGCAATTTGCACACTGAATTACTCTTGGAATTAACAAAAAGTGTTCTAAACTTTCAGAATCATATGTCAGATGTGACAGGATTCCCCCCACCCCCCAAAAAAGACACACCAACAAACAAACAACCTAACAAACAACCAAACCAAACCAAACCAACGCAACCCAACCACGGGCTTCAGGTGTATAGACAGACCAAGATCATTTTTGGCTACATGTATAAGGCAACAGAAGTGCCTGTTTACGAGGGAATATGTGAGTCCACACTAGTCAATGTGCCATTAAATACCGAGCTCGATTCTCAGCGTTAGAAGTCACCAGTGATTTTGGCGTTATATTCTATATGAGCGTATTCTCTCTATATATATTCTATATGAGCATATTCTATATATGTGAAATATAGTGACAAAAAAGGCGATTTGGGTGAACTGTATAAGGTTGCCCTTACTTCCTAAAGCGTGTAAAAAGCCCGCTCGTCCCTCAATAAGGCCATAATAGGTTATAGTGAGAAATTCCTCCATTGCTTGATCCCGTCAGTTTGATTTCTGTCCTTCCTTGACATTCATTTGTACCAGTGTATCTGCAGGTCAGGGAACCAGACTAATTATTTGACAAAAACAGAATCGATTGTTGTGTAAACCTGCGTCTGTCCAGTAAATATAATTGTAAACCTGCAAATCTATACCACGTTTTTAAAAATGTTGTTCTTTTTTAAATTGTATTTAAGGTCGTTTTGTATTTGTATAAGACGCAAAAAGACGGCCGTAACAGCGTTTTATCTGTTGACATCGTCTACTGTCACGTGCCATACTATTCTTTTGAATATACACGCATTTATGAGTAAGCATAATCCCGCATGGTTATTTTTGTGTCGGGTTGAAATGCGGGTATTTTCTGTGCTGTGTTGAGTCTTCCGTTATCAGAGAGATGTGCGTACCAAAACGAAAATCCACGTTTTCGTACTTTCTGGACCTTATGTTCAATGTGTTTTCCATATGCTTACGCGTACGCAGCTGAAAATTTTGTGTCATTTCGTGAAAACAAAATTCTGCATGGACCAATTTTTATGCCTTTCCAGCCTACGATTTGTTCGTGTTTAAGGGAAGGCACGTTTGCATATCTTCTTTGTGAAAATGCAAAAATGCAATTATTGAGATGTCTGTCCCTGGCATAATTGAATTTTAACATTAATGATGTCTTGCTTATGGAGGCGTGTCAAAGTGGTCAAGTACGATGTTTGGAAAAAACAATGAAACAAATAAAAAAAAAATAATTCTAACATTCCCGACAAGTCGTGAAAACAGTGGCGCGTATAATGTAAAATCCAACCAACATTGGCGCCATCGGATTGATTGCTTCTATCAATAACCTCCTCTTATCTCCGTTCACCATTTTCCTCAAAACGTTAACACTCTTTTTTTTACACAGTGAAAGGTTACCCACGTTTTTCCACTTCTTTTTCCCTCAAAATCATCCTCCATGGAAGTTTCCAAAAGAGTATATGAACGAAAAAGAAACAATTCCAAGATCCAGTAACATCGCAAACCGATGTTTTCTTGATTGACAGGTTGACGAAATTGATTCCTGTTTAGACTTCTGAATCATTATAATACATACATTGAATTATAAAAATACAACTCAGTCCATTTGTTGGAGACATCTTGATAAGTTTCTTGGAAATTTTAAACAGGTTGGAAAACAATCTCCGTTTATAGTACTGCTTTCCCCACAATTTGCACTTTATTTGGACTAATGCTCTTTTGGAAATGGAAACGACGTATGAATAAATACTATCGAACAAGAACAAACTTTATTTTCATGTCAAGATGAATGAAGCTGCCGGTTATCTTTGGCGTAGGCTTTATGAATCGTATTTGCATCGTTTATTAAAGTGTATTTTCCAGGAAAGAAAGACTAAAAAGTGTATAAAATTAATCCACATGCAAAATCAACCAAATGAAATGTGGTTTTCATATTAAAACGATATTGGTGTCACATTGGTTTATATATTTTTACCTTTGTCAACTTTTCATTTGAAATTGTCATGATTTTAGGCATTAGGGGAGGGTGGGGCAAGTGGGTCATCGGGGCAACTGGCCCACTCATAGACCAAATTAAATTGAAAGGTTATGAAATTGACCAGTTGCGTTTAAACAACTACATTTATTTTTTTCAGAGATTAAGCTGAACATAAATTGAGGCCCGAATGAAAAATATAAATAAATTTAAAGCAATAAAAGTTCAAATCATGATTTAGGATAATAAAAATGCCCGAACCAATTAACTCCATTAGCTTAACATCGCAAAAACCAGACATTACCTGACTGGAGGAATGATATAGGAGTTTTCTAATTAATTTTTTAAATTGAACTCTGGTGCTTCTGAGATAATTACGATTGCTATTTTCAGTGTTTTATTATCCATTTACTCATTCTAACATTCATTCCGTACTCGTTTGGTGGCAAGTTTTAAGGTTTTATAATGTGGTCCACTTGCCCCTGGTGTGGGGCTAGTGGTCCACTTTTGCATGAATGAGTTAGATATTCATAAGTTTCATTAATGTAATTGATTTCAGCTGTTTGCAATAAACAAACAAGTGTTTTGGTTATGATTTAAGAGTAGTTTTATCCTTTTCCTGGATCATTGAATATGGTTAAAATCAAGAATGTGCTTAGTGGCCTAGTAGCCCCACTTTCCCCTAACACGGTATAATACCTACACACATAATTACAAGAAGACATCCTGTGTTGATTTCGATTAAATTCAACTTGAGAAAGCCTTACATAAAACAGTGTCATGATAAACGGGAATTTTACAAGCAAGATTGTATTTGTGTGGAGTGCAAGTGTCATTAACCCTGGCTATCTCGCCAAGGTACGTTAAAAAGCTTTGAAAAAAAAAACATACGCAACACCTACCCGTACAAACCATCATAATAAACACTGTTTGAAATATTATAAACAGAAATGCCACAAAATTTAATATTACTATTGCTTTACGCTTCCATTAATCTTAATTTGATTTCATGAAGTCTTAAGGTCAGTGGACACCTCAGTTAATAGGTTCGAACGAGAGTTTACAGACACAAAACGTGTATTTTCCATAATGGCGCTAGCTTATTCCCGTATGAATCCTTTTTTCAGGATGCTCGAAAGTAAAAAAAGTTGACCTACCTGGTTAAGATGACAAGAAAATACCAACACAATGTGTGCCGACCATCGTTCACGATCCTCCTTCCAATAGGAAATTGACACCTGGACTAGATCAATTTTATCATTTCGCGGGCCATCTTCTTTCATCACAAATGGGACCTCTGAAGCGTGTGTTTTCTGCGCGAGAATGGTGGCATATCATGCCGATGGCTATTGACAGTTGCCTTGACATCTTCCCCTCAGCTGAGCTATGCCAAATCATGCGCTTTAATAGAACCTAAAACCATCATCTTGAATTATAGTCATCTCCTGAGGTGAGTAATGGTTTGGGAAGGTTATTTTGATTATCTGTGGGTTCCATGCACAACACTAGGCTACCACATTGGAGGCGGAAACCCCATTAAAGCCGCCATAATGGTCTCTCAGTGGAGGGAAGATCACCAGTGAATTAATATCGACACAGCTATACGAAGTAATCAAGCGTCGAAGTTTGGGGGGCATAAGTGCCCAAACGTTCCTAAATGAACAAAAGTCCCATCAATATTCTTTGCGTTGTCACTGTGATGAATTTATACTGCGGCTCTCTCATAAATTTTCTTGACTTTTCATTCCATGCAATTGCATGTTCCTCTTGCTCCTTGGATTCGTTATCGTACAAACGCCATTGCAGCGAAACTTATACCAAACTACAACCACCACGGGACTCTATGAAATTAGGAGTGACATGTCAACTTCATGAGAGTATTTGTGCAGTCAGCACTCAGAGCTGGATACTTGCATTCTCTTCATCTTACGCCTTAGATTAATTATTATACGTGTGCCATGGCAGCCAAACCTATATCAAACTAAACACCACCATGGGACTCTTTGAAATTAAGGAGTGCCATGTCAACTTCATGAGAGTATTTGTGCAGTCGGCACTCAGTGCTGGAAACTTGCATTCTATTCATCTTGCGCCTTGGATTAATTATTATACGTGTGCCATGGCGGCCAAACCCACCACAGGATTCTTTGAAATTAAGGAGTGCTATATCAACTTCATGAGAGTATTTGTGCAGTCAACACTCAGTGCTGGATATATACAGTGTACTCGTATTCTCTTCATCTTGCGCCTTGGATTTATTATTATATACGTGTGCCATTGCAGCACATATCGGACTAAAACCACCACAGGACTCTATGAAATTTAGGAGTGCTTTATCAATTTCATGAAAGTATGGTTTGCACTTTTCGAACCACTTCACAAACCACTCAAAAGGAGATTCGTTGATCCTTACATGTTCTTATGTATGAATCATGAGGAAATGCCCCCTCACTACGGAGTGCTATTTCACTTAGAGAATGAGTAACTTTGGATTCAAATTACGATGCAATAACATTGGAGAATTTCTATAAAATGCACACATATAGCCACCTAAAATTGCTCATAGCGCTATAAACAGTTAACAACACAAGAAAATTTAACGGCTAACTCTTCAAACAAGATTATACAAGAATATTTTAAATTGAACTGAGACATATGTGCTAGACCTGTTTTAAAATGTTTGAGTGCTTCTTTGTCTGACATTTTCCCGATACTTTATTCTCAGTCTCTCCATTTCAACATTAATATGAAGTCGTTAGAACCTGTCATTGAAATATTTGAAGTCTTTCGCACTCAGTGCACGTCTGTAAATCACGGTTTGTGGTCGCCAGTCTTCTCTATGACTATTAGGGCACACGCTCCCAGGTCCGGTAGCGCCTAGCTCGTTTATTTGCTGTAACTCTCGGGTAAAGTGAGTCCAATGCCGCTTTTAATTTGTGTTTATCGTTACGATGCTCGGGTCCTTCAGCCTTTCGCGCATTCTGCACCGCAGGATCAGACCCACGGCTTGCCGAATTCGTCCGTCCAATAAACCATAGATCACGGGATTAAGCCCTGAGTTAGCCATAGCCAGCCAGGTGGTCGTCGTGAACACGGCATCCGAAAAAGGGCAGTCGTTCCTCGTGAATACCAGACATAGGATGCCGACGAAATGGGGCAGCCAGCAGGCCATGAAGTTGCCGATTAAGACAAGGAGCATAAACGCCGCCTTGGCGTCTCTCTTGAGCCGTCGGGCCCGCCGGGTCGCCAAGGCCGACTCGCTGGACCCCATGGACTCCATGTCGACGATCAGCCGGGACTGTCTACGGGCCACTCTGAGGATGTGGAAGTAGCAAAAGAACATGATGGTTAGTGGAGCAAAGAAGCCCAAGGCGAAGATACTGCAGGAGAAGCTGGGGCTGTAACCCCAGTCTATGGTGCAGATGTATTCATTGTGGAAGTATTTGTAGTAAGACCAGGACCAGGCAAAGGGCAGGAGTGCTAGAGCGAGGGGCTGCAACCAGACCCAGGCGAGAACTACGGCCACCCTACGCCCAGACATGAGCTCCAGGTAGCGGAACGGGTGTACGATGGCGAAGTAACGATCCAGGGCGATCCCGGCCAGGGTGAGCATGCTGGCCACACAGAAGATCACGTTGGTGATGCCGTTGACGGTGCAGAACACGTCCCCTGCGATCCATCGGTTGGCGATGCTAGAGCCCAGGATAAATGGCATGCCCGTCAGGCCGACAGACAGGTCGGCCACCGCTAGGTTGGCGATGAACACCGTGGTGTTGTTCCGTAGGATCCGGTAGTTCGCCAGCGCAAGCAGGACCAAGGTGTTCCCAAGCGTGGCGGATAACATGATGATAGCCATGAACGACGATTGGATAGCAACGAAAGCCATTGACCTCGAATCCGTCCCGTTTCCGAATGTTACCATGTCAGACGACGTTTGGTACGAACCAAGTCTCCAGGAACTCAAACGTAATATCGCATTTTTTTGTCTAAGCACATTTCTTGTGTATAGACCTACTTAGAATATCACTAGTGCAAAAGTTACAATCCTGTTGTGCTTTAATAAGCAGCTCGCCATCCCAGCGTGTGATCCCTCAAAAGCATGACCACCGTCACGTCATTGCATTCTTCATGGTACTGAATCGCGTCATGCTCGACTTTCTGTCAAGCCGAGAGTGCGAAAACGCTTGTGATTCTGCGCTCGAGCGGAGTGATTCATGACTCTACCATCATCGCTGTCCAATCATTATCGGCAAAGGAGCAAAAAATGTAAATCCAGTTACAGCATTTCCCCTGGTCTCCTTCAGGCGCTAAGCCATCACAGCATAATTGATTCAGAGAAATCGCTTTTAGCGGCGTATAATTTGCATTCATATTAACTTGGAAGAAGGAGTTTTAATTATTTTGTCAACTACCGATAAAGGATGTCTGTGTGTTTGACTCGTAACAATTCATGTCTGGGTTACCGTCCATACATAGTGATTGTCCAACATATGACTATTATATTGCATAAATGGAGCGTTATACCTGCTCATTCCCTGTGTGGATTTAGACGCTTTGACGCTGTCTTGAGCGAATACATTTTGAATTAGTGTGTGTTAAAGTGCATAATAATAAAATGAAATGAGATGGATAGAAGTCCCAGTATACTGGATTTCCACCAAATGCAATGGGGCATACGAACAGCACATCAAGTGAATACGTTTTAGTTTGACGCATCAAAAACCTAAGCAAAATTCATCTGTCCACAGCGCGCGGACATGACTTGTGCACGCCTTTGCGTTTACACCAAGCAAAAACGAAACGTTCGTATACTGATTGTGCGTTAAAATTTTAAACTTTGTTGATTGTCGTTCAACAACACGAAAGTCCAAGTACACAAAGAGCCGTGCAACAGCTGTACGCATAACCGAGTTTTCCATTTGAATGTGCCCAGCAGGCATTCCAAAATTGAGATACTTTAAATGAGGAGTATTTGGTATCTATTTAATATGTACATGATCTCTGTTGATTATTTGAGAGACCAATCTGGGGAAATGGAAATTAGTCGGAGAGTGTATTAACCAACTAATTAATTAAAAGAGCCTGAAAGATTTCCCCCCCCCCGATGGCGCGCTTCCGGAAAATAACGTGCAAAGATTTTAGAATTCGAATATTTTTTTGTGTTAAGTTACTTCTATAATTAAAAATCCAACTCGGAAAAAGGGCTTTGGAAAATATTTGCTAGTGTGTCAAATTATAGAAACTGAAAAATTACCTGAGCTAAAAGGGAAATATCCTGCTAAAAATCTGAAAATCTAAAATACATGAAGAACAGTGCAATAAGGCAGTCTCGTACACAGATGAACATTTACGGTTTGAAATTTTATGGTAGTCCGTCGGTAAAAGCCGAAATAAAACATATCAAAATATTTTACACAGTAACAAACTTAAAGCAATATTCTACTTCAATCACGAAAAATTGTAATATAGGCCTATTGTCTAACCTTTGCTGACAACAACTGCGTGATGTCAACTCAACGAAATCTGGAACCCATCGACTGCAAGTATATAGGTTAATCTTTGCAACGTTGTACAATCTCCTTTCAGTACGGGCAGGGAAAACAAACGTGCATAAACATGGAGGTCGTTTAAGAAAATTCGGGTTTTTTTTACCGATTTCCATGTGATTTTCCTAAATATTACTTGGGGAAGCCAAAGGTAAAACTCCAACATGAGTGTTTCATGGGGTGCTTTCAGTTACGAGTAATTCTTTCAAAAATTATCGAATGTAATAGGACGGCCCAATGTAAAATCCCCATAGGAGGACCGCGCGAGGGTTCCGGAAGCTTGCTACGTGACCTTTTACTTTCGGACTTTATAAGCACTGTAAGAATTAATGTAAATGCACACAATAAACAACACGAGGAACATATTGCAATCTAACAGAATTCCACGTTTGTTGCATTTTATCAAAGTGCAATGTTGTACATGTATGCGTTTTAAGGTCGCATGAACCAGTGGCGTGAATTTGTGCCGGGACTGTGGAGGGGTACTGGCACCATGTGAAACCTGGGGGCGCTGTTCATTATACAGTTTTGGTTTAACACAGTTTACGAAAACTCCTGAACCCAACATCAAACCGGGCAGGCCCCCCTATTTAGAGCTTTCGACATGTTTTCCAGTTTTCAGTGTATTTGAATACATTCTGCTTGTTAGGAAGTCTGAAAATGATTGAAAATTGTTTGCTTTTTTCTCGCCACTAAAATGTGTGAGGGGTGATTCAATTTTTACTCAAATAGGAGAGTGTATTACACCCTAGCTTTGAATCAAATAGTAAGCTTGTGGTGATTTTAAACTTGAAAGGGGTAAAAATCTCACACGAAATAAATAATTTAAATAAAACAAAACAAACAATAAATATAGCAAATAAGAACAATAAAATAAAAGAATAAAGGACGAGATGACTTTATTATTATTTGGGGGGGGGAAGTTCAGTGTGAATATTTTGTTTTCATTTAAAAAGTAGAGGGCGCATTGTTTACCCGTCTACATTGGTGGAGTACACGAACGTCAAGGGACACGAACATACGTACGTTGTCCGCCATTTTTTAAAATTGCTCTGGTGCACGTCTTTCAGAATTTTTCAAGATTTTCATACACTTTTACTGCCTTCCTTGAATTCACTCAACTGCAGTTCTCTACGATATTCCAGCAGAACAGCTGATGGAACCCCGAGGTATGTTTTATATTTTCCTTCTGGTGTTTTAGTTTTAAGGACTCAGAATACGCCAGTAACATATACGCATCATCAGATCATCATGTACATGTATAATGTAGGCCCTACTCAAGTTGGGGTTCATTACCTTTAGCACCCTGTTCCTATTATAAGGGAACAAATTCTACTTTTTTCGAAAAAACCTATCTAAACAAGTTGTTGGGAATGTCCTTTTTCATATCAGAAAGAAAAGAGAACCTGAGAACAGGGCTTCTGGTTTGGGGGAGACATTTTTTGGGGTAAAACGGCAGCGTACGTGTACATGACCGTCCCACTGAGCTGTGAACAACAATTAAGCAAATGTAGTCCGGTTCCTTGCCCTGGATGGAGATTTATTTTGATGAATCCAAAATGCTTGATTTGGGTAACCAGACGAAAAACAAAATGGCATGATTGACTGAGTCTGAGTGGTTGTCTTTTGCCAAACTCGGGTTAGAAATTTGAGATTTCTTGCTTAAATATTGTCAAAATTTACCTATTGTAGGCCTAGGGGATTAGGATTGAGTAATCATTCCTTAGGGTCAAAATGTCAGTTAGTTTGAGAAAGTGGACTTTGTTTCTTTATTTAAGTTATTAGGCGAAGTTAAAAAATCTGTTTCTCGTCCCTGCCCACCCATATGGGTCTTTGTGCACAGAAGCTGTTGGACTTTGTTTTTCTGAGGTATGCCAAACCCAATGCACAAGCCAGCTGTTATGGGCCTACCAGACCTATCCCCTCAGAATTAAACCCTTTTGTACTGTTTGATTCTGTGTGGTTGGGGAAGGTTAGGGTTAAGGATGTTTCGAAATGAATGGGTTAGGCTTGGTTTTCGGTTTCGCTGGTTCCAGTCAGAGCCTCGCATGCAGTTTAGAAAGCTGCATCAAATGGCTGGAATCAGCGAAGCCGATGACTAAGCCTAATCCACTAGTTTCGAAAACGCCCTGAGCTCAGGCTTGAGCATGTGTTTAAAGAATTCTGGTCTGGTTCCCAATCGCATTTTCATTGATGCATTCGGACTTAGTAAATTGCAGGGGAGGGGTCAGGAAACAGTCTAGCGCGGCCAACGTTTTCTGTCACTCATGCATGCATGCACATCATAAGCCTGAATCTTGTTTTGTTTGGTTTCATCGAAGCGCAAGTCAACAAACTCTTGTCAAATGGTGATGGATACACTGTATGTTACAAGTCCAAAAGTTGTTACAGGTAAATGCCACTGCACTGTAGGCTATACCATTGGAAAGGGCTTGAATAAAGCTTTCCAGTGACACCAAGATGACCCTCTTCTCACAAAAAATAAGAAAGTTATAGTGAGAAAGAGACGTGAGTTGAGGCCAATGCTTATCTTTTGATCTTGTACAGGCAATACAAACTGTACAGGGAATACACAGAATGGATTGTGACTGAAACAAAAATTCCTTTTAGGTTTTAAGAAGCATGATAGAAATAGTAAAAGAAAATTCAGAAAGAAAAGAAAAAAGTTTTTAAAATCTTTACCAAAGTAAATATTATGGTTTTATAATTCCCTTAAAATCCATGTCCATTGGAAATGAGTAAAACTAAGCTGAGAAGAGCTGATGAAAGACTCTTAGCCAATCAGGAAGTGGTATTAGGTCACATGACTCACACTTAACATACAGCTTCATTTTCCCAATAAAAGTTCAGCAATACAATTTCTTTTCCAACTTCAAACATCACAGATGAAACTGTCATTTCCAATTAAAAAAAATCTACCGTAAACATCTATACACTTTAGAAAATCCATCAAATTCAATCAGAAGCAATAAAAACAATTTCATTGCCATAATTGCAATGAAAATCGTACCATGTAGGCATAAAGCTGAGATCACATACATATCGTGCCGGCGGAAAAAAATGTGAAAATCGATAGAATCCTTTCGAATTTCACAAATCAACTAAAAATAATCAAACAGTCAAAGAGCTATTGAAAAGAGAAAAAGTAAAGTCATCTTTGATAAAATCATTGATGGTTTGATGACCATTCTGATGTGATATATGACCCGGTTGAGAAGAGTGAATTTCAACTAGATTTTTACAAACATTTTGTGGACAAAATAAAATAACCGACCAGTAATTACATCATCAAACTTTGTGTATTTCAGGTACATACTAGAAAACGTCACAGAAAAGTGGGTTCTGTGTAATTTCCGTTATTTTTAGACACAGGGAAATACCAACATGTTTGCGCTGGAGTGCTATTTAAAATCAGACCGGCAAAAAAACCCAAAAAAAACGAGGCCAATTACAAAATTGATAGTGCTGTTCAACAAAGTTTGTGACATACACGTACCTAAAGAAAGGTCAGAAATATCTCCCATCAAATTATTGTCCTATCAGCCTCACATGTGTGGCATCAAAACTTATGGAGCACAATCTGTTCGGTGAGATCATCCAGCTCTCTTGTACCCACTTCAGCATGGATTTCCTGCAAAAATGCCTTGTGAAACCCAACTAATTCAGTTTCTGGACGACATCGCTAGTAATATGCAGAGAGGTTGACAGACTGACGTGTGTCCTTGATTTCTCTGAGGCATTTGATAAGGTTGGGCATTGTAGATTTCTGGAAAAACTCCAGTTTCCTGAGCAACAGATCCCAGGTACATGTAGGGCTCATAGACGGTGCCACCTCTGACTCAGTTCCAGTCATCTCTGGGGTACCACAGGCATCAGTACTTGGGCCATGCCTCTTTCTTTTCTACATTAATGATATTGCTGGTGGTCTCACCTCAACAACACGTCTTTTTGCAGATGACACAATGTTGTCACTTGCAGTTCGGAACGAAAGTGATTCTAATCTTCTTTAAGAGGATCTTAATCCCTGGCTACCTTGGAGGAGACTTGGCAAATGGAATTTAATCCTGATGAATGTCAAGTAATTGGTAGGCCTATAACTCGCAAGAAAAGTCCCATCAACTACATGTATAAGTGCACCTTTCATAGTCATGAAATCAAACACATACAATCATGCAAATATTTGGGCATCACTGTTGCACATGATTTAAAATGGAGTAACTACATCAATAATATTACATCTAAAGCAACAACCACATTGAACTTCTTGAGACGCAACCTCAAAGTTCGTACAAAACATCAAGCAATTACGTGTAGCTTAGAAATCCTCTTAGGCCTCTTGTGGAAAACTGTTCAACAGTTTGGGATCCATACACAAAAAGTAACCAGCTGGAAGTTGTACTGAGGCATGCATCATCAGACCTCAAGTGTTGGAGTTAAATGTATGCTGAAAACTCTACAATGGGAAATTCTTAAAGATACATGTAGGCCGTAGGATTGTCTGACTCACAATGTTCTGTAAGATTCAGCAGGGGTTGGTTGCTGTTGACATGCCTTTCAAGTCTAGGAATCTTGATGCTCCGGCACGAACAAGAATTCCCAGGCTTACAAAATTCCATTCTGCTCCAGGGAATATTCCCCGCATATTATGTTTGTGAAATGAATGGGCGCAGGGACACGAACTGATGTTACTGAGTGTAGGACTTCTGTATTCCAAAAAACCAACATGGATGCCGAAGGGCATGGTCATGTAACATGAAACTTGAATAGCACCCTCAGGCTTACTTAAGAAAGTATTAAAACAATGAGATGAATTACAGACACAAATATTTCACCCCTTTGGAAAAGTCCCAGTTCACGAACAGTCAAAGTCTTTGAGGTGATGGGATGGGGAGCGAGTGCGGTGAGATCTGCGGAGTGGAGCTTGAGCTGGTGTAGTGGTGGGCATGTCCAAGGGAAAGCAGAGCGGTATGTCAAGGCTGTTGTCATGGTGAGGTGCTTGAGTGTGGGTTGCAACAAGTCGGTGGGTGTTCCAATGGGTACAGTCACTGAGTTGGTGCTGGGGCTGAACCGACGTGCAATCTGCTTTGACGGCGAGAGTGAGGATGCCAGCTTTTGACTGCTGCTTGGGCATTTGACTCTAACCCAGTCACCAGTCTGGAACTGTGGCATCTGAGCATGATGCTTGGTGTCGGTGTAGGACTTGATGTTCTGCAGGCGTTGTGCAATTGATGATGCATGGGCTGCTACCTTGGCATTAGGCTGTACTGGAGATTTGAGAATGTCCAGTGGAAGGCAGAGGTCATGAGCCGATCATGAGTTCTGCAGATGTTATTTCTGTCAGTGAGTATTTGGTCGAGTGGTAGGTGCGGAGGATGGTTTGGATGGCATGATCAAATGTTTTGCCAGCTTCAAGATTGGCTTTCAAACCATCCTTGATAATGCGGTTGAAGCGCTCGACACCACCATTGCTCTGTGGGTTGTATCAGGCTGTAAGGCGATGCTCAATACCGAGGCTGGAGACGAAGGTGGCAAACTGGTCGGATATGAATTGTGGCCCATTGTCAGTTATGATGACTTCTGGAAGGCCCCATTTCATGAACATTTGCTGAAGGATGTTGGTCACAGTAGCAGAAGTGACTGCACTGTACTTGTGGTGGCAATTTCTGGCCATTTGGAGTGCAAGTCATGCACCACAACAAGGAAATGGTGGTTGGCAGGGGTGGCTTCAACAGGGCCAAAGATGTCAAGCTGGAGTTGTTGCCATGGTTTCTGTGGCCATGGGATGGGTTGGATTCCTCTAGTTGCTCTTTACATACACCTGTTGGTACCAATTAGTTTTCAGCTGGTATATCAACCAATGCCGTAGTTATCTTGTACATGTATACATGACAATTAATCTGTGTGTTCTTTGCCTTTGAACAAGTGAAGGCCAGTCAAGTCTGTGTAGCAGATTTGTGACAGTTGCTGTTGTTTAACTGTACTGATTGACGATTAATCTTGCAGTTTGTCTCTGCACTTGCTCCAAACTGTACATACAGTGTACTGTACATGTATATTACCCTTTAAGTGTGGGCCCCAGGCAGCTGAGTATTCCAGCAAAGGCCGCACCAGTGTTGGAGTATTCACACACGAGTATAATTCGAGTATGCGAGAGTACTCCGCCCATTGATCAGTACTCAAAAATAAATTGTACTTGGCTTGTACTTAAATTGGCCTGTACTTGATTGTTTGTATTCAGATTTAGGGCATACTCAACTCTTCGGTACCCAGTACTCAACCCTTGTACTTGAGAAAAAAATTTGGGTACAGGTACTTCACTTTTTATTGATAGCATTTTTGGGTGATGTGTGATGAGCAAGGTTGTTACCGGTAATTAGAAAAAAAATAAAAAATCATAAGTTTTTAGTTAAGTCAGTTTTTTATTTAAATCAAGTTTTTAAAAAATTTCTATAAAAATGTGAGACAAGGTGGCTCAAATGTCTATTCAAAAGCAAGAAAATAAGCTGCATTTGGAATACTGTACATGTAGTTTTCTTTTATTGATTTGTTTTGTGACAAAATTAAACAAATTTGGACTTAAATTAAGAAATTTAAATCAAGTAATTCGATTCAATTCACTAACTACCATGTCTTAGCCTTGGTGAAATGCATGCAGTATCACACCTGTATTGGTACATGTACCCTCAGAGAAGACACTTCCTGCAGAGATAAGTACATGCGCATATACCAAGGACAAAGTGCATACCAGGTTTTAAACCGAACTCTAAGTTTTGACAAAAGTAGAGTTCACACGAATTTGTTAATAGAATACTTTTTTATGTATGCATCAAATGACTAATGAGTGAGAAACATGCCATGAACAACAGGTACAGTATACTTGTACATGTACATGTATATATTTTGCATGTTACGTGTGCAGGTACAAAATGCTGGTATTTTACCTTGCACTGTGTGCAAAAGACAGTCTCATTTTGTTTGTGATCCAACTCCACAGGAGCAATGAGTTATCTGTAGGCTTGATTAAAAATCACTTTATTAAGGGCATGAATTGAGGGGCTTTTAGCTATAATGACTAACGCTTCTAATTTCAATGAAATACATGTATTTGTAGAGAAGTACAGGTGTAAAAGGTTGATGTACACTGATACTTTACCACGTTAAACCATGGACATGATGGAGGAAGGACACAGAAGGAGTTTGAACTGCCCAGGCTATAACATCTAGCCAATTACAGCTTTCTGGCACACCTGATACATGTACGTTCATAGCCAGAGCACAGTGAATGCTTGCTATGCACCACCTGTTTCACAACCATAAGCCCTTTTGTACCCTATGATTATCACTGCAATTTTTCGCTGTTAATCTGCCTCCTTAAAATGTTGTGCACTGCAGTACAGGAAGTTGAATACATGTATTTGTGCCATCGATGATGCCTGGTACTATATGATCTGAAAACAATATCAAATTGAATGCTTGTGCAGTTGCTTGCACATGTATTAGGCTGTGTGGCCTTAGTGCTCATGTGCAGTCATTGCCCTTATCGAACGCTTTCTTCTGGAGTTACATGTAGTTTAGGAATGAATAGCCAAGTTGTTTATAAGATATTGTGTTTTATTTGAATCATTTTTATTACGGTGTTTATACAAAAAGGTATTTCATGAGATCTCTTGAGCCCTCCTTGTGATGAAATAGCGCATTATGTTTGTTATGAACTTAACTGTCCCATGATGGTCAACATGTTGTTAGCCAGTCTTAGCCAAATTCATACAAAGACTGTGAAAAATGTTGTTTTGGAGAGACAAAATAAAATTAGAAAACATTGCATGGATAATGGAACAGCGTATCAAAGTTAAAAGTTTATTCATGATCTTATGTTGGGGATTTGTTGTCTCGATTTCCTAGTCAGGGTGATAAGTTGTAGTTAATGGCAAACAAAACACACAAAATATTGCTAGGATGTTACTGGTCCCACTTGTATGACCAAGCTGCAGGCAGTAATCAGGCATTTTGGGAATGTTTACTATTGTTTGTCTGACCAGGTGGCAATGCTCATCAAGCACTTTGAAGTGCCAGAGTTCTAACTCCTTCTGTTGCCTTCTTTTCTGGTTAAACTCTGAAGTGGGCAATTTAAATGAAGCATAATTAAATCATAATTATAAATCCTTCGCATCAACTACACTTACTGAATCCAAAAAGCTGATTTAAATCAAAACAAGTGGACAGAATTGAACGTAAAAATCTTGCCAACCCAGATTTGTGTAACTCATGTGCATTCATACATGTACTTCTTTAATACTAGGAACTGGAAAGCTCACAGAGGGGGGGATTAGCTGTTTAAAGTGTGCAAAAGCTGCAACATTTCCAATCAGTACCATAAAATTCAAAAATTGAAACATTTTTGCCTTTTACCCAAAAAATTAAATACATGTATGTTGATTTAAATCAGTGATTTTTTCAAAAAAATCATTTGATTTACACCATAAGTCAGGATTTAAATCGGTGATTTTAAATCAGACAACCCTGGTGATGAGTTTGAATGTGTTTCTGCATTCACAGCTTTTACTATAGGACATTCTAGCACATGTATGAGTCGACTCATGCTCCGTGAGCATGAGTGTGTCATTTCCCACGGTACACACGTGGACTGACTGTGGCCTAGGTCTTGTTGCATTTTTGGTAGCTTTTCCAAAATTGAATTTGTTGGCGATTTCCAATTTGCGATTTTGTTTTATCCTTTTGCACTTTATTTTGTCTCTTTTGTAATTCTTAGACATGAGGTTCCATGATTTTCATCATTTTTCTACCCGAATGTCTCCGTCTTGGCAACAAGTAGTTGTCTTAGGTGTCTACCCAGTTATCCATGATTTGTTTGGCCATTGTTTTTGATGAAAATACTCAGTGAACACAACCTGACATGGAATTTATTGATCTGTCAATATGTAAACATTTCTGCACAATTAAAACTGGAAAGTGTTAATTACAGTACTTGGTAAAGGCGATTGTTGCATTGAGTGTTTGTTTTAAGTATTATGCATCGATACTCCGACTCAGCCCAGTACTCGGCCTTGAATGTACATTTACTCGTACTCGGTGCTTTGGACTCAGACTCATCACCAGTGTACCTGTACTTGGACCAGTATAGGCCTACTCTAGACTGCATGTTAAAAAGATAAACAGAGAACAACTGTGTGAGAATTACATGTATGTTTGCGGTTTGGATTTCCTTCGTTTTGTAAAATTTTCTTCAGTTCGCACTAGTTTTCTCATCATTTATTGGAGGACATGGAAATAATTTTCAGCTTTCTCACAATTCTTTTATTGTTAGAAAACGTTCTGTGATGTTTGAGAGGATTGTCTTAATAATAAGGATTGCCTGTTAAAATAATCCATACTTGCCGTTTTTCTTCCATAATGAATTTCATTACCAGTTGAAACTCATAGAACGCTGTGCAGCACTAAATGAAAAAGGTTCAAACTTACATTGTACACTGTAGCAGAAAACATTGAACATACATGTACATGTACTATGCACATGAACTGTATGCAGTTATGAACCCATTGAAATGCCTTGTCTGTTTTCTTAATCCATAGCTACAACTAACAGCTTTCCTTGCTCTCTCTCTCTCTTTCTCACTGATATTTTCACCAAAGTAAAAAAAGATTTTCCTCCTGTTTTTACTCCAGTATGAGCCATTTACATCATAGACACCTGCTGCTGCGGTCTGGAAAAATAGCCACGACGTGCAAGCTTATTTTGGTAACAGTATTGTCACAGAACCAGTCTTCTAAAGGTAAGATTCGCAGATTATCACTCTACTTACTATAATAACAAGTGCTCCAAGTGTTTCTTTTCCTGTACACTTGCCTGCCAGCTTAGTTACCTTTGATGCCACAAGTGTTTTCATTTCAAAACCATCCAATGAATTGTGCCAAACAGCATCATGAAATGAAGATTAGTTGGGGTTTAGTCATGTCACCCAAAAAGTTGCACATTTACTACAGAAAAACCTGGTTAGTACAATTATCATGTTTGTTGCTCAACAGCTGTAGATCAAGCCACCATATACATGTACATGAGCTACAGGGAGAATAAATCTAGTCAAACAGTCTCAGTTGATATTCATTTTTTCTTTGGCAATTAATGTTAAATGTTCTTTTTGCTTTCCTTTTACATGTACACAGAGAATTCTTGCCACAGTGTTGATGTACGTGTACAGTACATGTATCATCATTCGAGAGAGGAGAGTTCTCCAGAGACACAGGAGAAGTCACTGCAGGTTGATGCTACCAGTTGCCTGAGGTCTCTACAAGTTGCTGAAGGTCACTGTTGGCCCAAAATGTCACCTGACCAAAATGATGTGCACTGACAGTTCCACAGTGTGGGGTGCTTGATGTCACCAGAGGTCACCGACTGCCACTGCTGATTTGATGATGTGGGCATTAGACATTTGGATTCTTCACCAGCAATTGCCATTCCATAGTTTGGATATTGTGTAGTAAGAGCACACTCAGAACAGAACTGATTGGGGCAGACCCCTCAAGTCAGACTATACATGTAGGTACAACTAGTGCTCGTCCTACAAGTTTGCAAACAGAAAACAGTCCTTTGTTGCCTGTAGCACTGAAGGACTTTACCCGTTTTGCTTCCAGCAGTAGGATACTCAGAAAGGGATAAGCGGAATGAATCAACTTGAGTTAGGCAGATCTTATTCTGTCAAGTTTGGTGTACTGTTAATTGATGCCAGTTACTCACAGAGGAGTTTCAGCTTTTACAATGAATGCTGCGGTACATGTTTGTTTGTGCATTCATGTATGTGCCTGATTCAACTTGTCTTGTGATGTCTCTATCTACCAAACTGGATAATGCAAGAGCCATCCACGCTAAGTATAGAAGGATGCTGTGTCAGCCTAGATCAACCCCTTCTTTTTTGAGATTTAGCAAGATGGAGAGGCACTCACTTGCTCTAAAGCTGAGACCTATCCAGCAAGCACACCAAGAGCCCTGTATAATACCTTCATTGCACAATTTGATGTTAACTCTTGCGGGATGTTCTGAGTGGTTTCTGCAGGTCTTCCACGTCTTAGTGACTGTGCAGATGAGCTCAGCTTGGGCACATGTCCTCTAGCAGAATAGCAGACAAACCCTTCAACACAATTCATCTCTGCCCATGGCTATGATACATTCCAAGCTTGAAAGAGAGAGCAAGTTTGCCGATAAGCCCTTTTAGACAGTCGTGTGATGGATGATCTATACCATGACTTGTTCCAAGGAAGGAACAAAGTGTGCTTGGGAGATGCAACAGTTGCTAAGTAGATGCCAGGGATGTGTGCTGCCACAGCCTACTGGGATGTGATGACATGAATGCCATAAATGAACTGACTCTTGGCAATTTGAGGCATATACTGCCATAGACACTCAAACACAGCATGGAACTTGAACTCTTAGAATATGTCAAAGAGCACTTGACCTCTCTTGCCTGAGTGTCATAAGGAATCATTAAGGTTTTCTTGGATCACAAAAAATCATCCTTGGGTAGGCCCACTCTAAGTGAAGTATTTCAAGGATGATCTTTACAAATTGGTCAGAGCTTTGTAATTTGTTCTTTCCTAGTTAATGTGCAACATTATACCATGAGCTGTAACAGACTGGTACCTCACAATTGATTGAAAATGAATGTAGACTGTCTGGTGGACTTCATCCTTTCAAAAAGGATTTTAAAAATCTGGAAATGGTTACCAAATTTCACGGCAGCCAAGGGCAGGAGAGGTGGAGTATTAGACACAGCTTGAGATGGAAAGACATTCACCTGAAAGGCAGCCAACAACCTCTTTGAAAACTTTCAATTATTTCCATTTTTCATACTTTCATTCTTTTTTGTACTGGAAGTCGATTTCGGTTCCAATTCTTTGTTCTGTTCTATAAAAAGTAACCCCCTAGGGACCATTGAAATCATGCACAAATTAACCCTAAACCCCCCCTCCCCGAGACCATTGAAGTCCTGCATAAACTTGTTGGGTTCTGAATGGTTGGGGTTTATTTGGGAAAAAAACTGAAAAATTGATGTTGCCTGCCTGAAGGTGTTGTCAAAATGATACCTTAATATCAAGTCATTGTTAAGGTAACTTGGCTCTCACAAAACCAGCCTATTCAGTGGATTTTTGCTTTGGTTAGCATGTTTTCAACCAACACGAAATGTGTTATCCCTTTTGAGATGAAGTACATTTACATGTATAAGGAGTCATATTTTACTTAAATCAGATTGAAATAAGCGCTGTGCCACTTTGGCTTTCCAAACTTTGACTCCCATCACAGAATTTTGCTTAAAGAAATCTTGATCTAACAAATTTCAGCAGCAACTTTACAATGTTACATCATTTACAGAATCTGTGGATACATGTAATGCTTGCTGATCCAAAAATGTTTTGTGGGAGCCAATTACATTGTACGTTGAGCATATGATGAACGGAAGTGATTTTAACAATGCCTGTGTGGTAATATTTTTGTTGGGTACAAGATTAGTCATCTGTCATTGAAGCTAATTTTTGGTGAACCTTCTTTTTTTTCTTGAATGAATCTCTGCACATCTAATGCTGATAGAAACAATCTGTTGTCTTATTTTGCTGTTGCCTAAAGCAACAAATAGTGGAGTTTGAAAGTCAAATACATGTGTAGAGTATGAATTCCTGAGGATTTGACAATTTACATGTAACTATAAAAATCTACTTCAAATTTGAAGTGGGAGCAACAAGCAAACAAAAGACATTTTTTTTGTCAAACTTTCTCGCCACATTCAACAAACAATGAAAAAGGAGCCATATTTGATTTTGCAAACTGTACATGCTTGCAATTAGCAAAACTTTGAGAAACGTTGCTGTTTTTATTTATTCTGATTCAGATTTCTATTCAAAGATTGAAAGGCATTTTTTCAAAGAGTGTTCTAAGTACTTGTTGAATGTTTCGATGTGAAATGTACAATTTTTGAGTTATCAACTCTGATATCAAAACAAAATTTATATTTTTGTTCTCATTGGGTCATTTATGAAGATTACTCTTGATTGCACAAAAGTACTTGTAATTTAACTTACTTTCTCTCACAGTACATGTGATTCTAAACATATATCTCCTTTCACCAGACTAGTCTTGTGCCCATCGTATTATTATGCATTTCTGGTATGATCAGCAGCAGCACGTACCTAAAATGTAAAATCATCCATTCAGTTTGACTCTCAACCAGTACTTTGAGGAAAAGTACTGGTAACTCAATTCCACAAATTTCTTCAGGATTCAAATTTAAAGTTGTCAATAAATATGTACATATGTATTCCTGTTAGAGGAATTTTGGGCGAAAAGTCCTAAAGTTCAAGCAGATGTACATATTTCTTTCGAGGAATCTTTCACAGGTGCATCATGGGGAATGCCAAATCTTAATTACTCTCCCCAATTCATCGCTGCCAAAGAAATGATTGCATGTCTCTATCTCTGGTGCTGATTGTACGATTTATGCCATCATAAAAAACCCAATACATGTAACAATGTATAACAATCTATTCATGTTTCACCTACAGGCATTCCATCCTAAAATCACTCGAAGCCCAATGCATGCAGGCCCCCCCTGCTGCACACCCGGGTGGTGTTCCCCGCCCTGCAGGCACCGACAGGCCTGGTGAGTCACCCCTGCTGTCTGTCATCGGCTGGTGGTTGGCTGTTCTTTGTGTGTGCGCCTTCTTCCTGCTTCTTGTTGTCTGGGCGATCATGGATACCTCAGTTGACTGCAATGGGTAAGGATCACTTGTGCTCTTACGGTTGGCTTGCTTTCCTTCAAAGGAGCTGGCATCGAGGCTGCTTGTACGATGTGTTACCGTGGCAACCAATGAATCCATCCTGCACTCTTAGGATTGCGAATTGAGGGATAACTCTTGCACCTACTCTTGATCTGACACCCACAACTTCAGATGTCCACAGTTACATCGTGTTTTGAATCAGACAGAGGAGGTGTTTACCCATGCTAACTTTTTGTGAGTTATCTCTGATGTTTCTCAGTGTTGTGAATTTTAGGACAATTGTCGTAACTCCTGTTTGTGTTGATAACTTCCTTGTGCAACTCCTAGATCGATCTGCATTGTATTGTGTTACCATGTTCCTAAAAAACATCTCAAAGAGAGAGCACTTGCAGTCATTAACATCATTAACAAAAAGAAAGAGGTGTAGATGGTTTATTTTCCAAGCCAGGAAATCTTTAGCTTTGAGCCATCAGCTCATAAAAACCAGCTATTCTGATTTTGGAAGCACACATAAATCTTTTGTAAAATATTCACTCATAAAATGGTTCTTGTAACTGAAAGAAACTGCATTCTTAATCTCAAAGCCAGTATCCAAAAAGAGTCTTGCTGCCATGGAGATACTCTGATTTGTATTCACAAATAAGCCAAAACTTTATCTTTAAACCTGTTCCTGATTGAGAAGCCGTTGCAAACTGAAAGTTAATCTAATAGATTTGAATTCACTCTCAAAGAAAGTGTGCCAGAGTAGTGTTTGTGAAAGGATCTGAGGTGAAAAAGCAATGTTATTCAGATGTAAACCAGTTGTTGAGAAAAAAATGAAGTTGCAACGTTAGACCAATTTTCATTGGAATAAATCAACTTTGAGGAATTGTTGTGCCAGCATCTATGTGAATTAAAAATGAAATGCACTGCTCATTGTAGCAGATTTAATGACTCCAAAATACATTCTTGTGTATCAAAACGGGAATAACATGGTAAAAGGAATGAGGGACATCATTAGAAAGGGCCAAACTCTTGAATTTGTAAGGAGAAGTTGTGCAGAGATTGGGAAACCATACTGCCTCCTTGCCAGATGATGGATGCGGTGGACAAGATGCCCTCTGCATCCTGACAAGAAGCTGTGGTGTCAGACACGGGGAGCCAGTCCTGCCTAAAGGCATCCATGGTAAGCTTAATTGGAGTTTGGAGGATCAATTCATGCACTGATTGACAAGGTTGTACATCCTCACATCTTGCCCATTGAACCCAAAGTCCCAAATTGTGTGTCTCATGGCTAGGAGTCATGCTGCCTGTATGTCTGTGTAATAAGATCCAATGGCTCTGTGCATGTAGTCTTCAGTCTTTGGCAATACTGTGTGATGAGGGCCCATTTACACTGACGAGTGGCAACAGAAAAGTGGTTTGTTATGCAATGAGAAAGTTATACACAGAGTGGAAATCCATTTGGTATGCTGATAGCTTCTGACCGTGCCAGTGATCCCCATAGGAAGAATCAAAGACTCAATGAACGCACGTCTACTCTCACTCCAACTGTCTTTTGGCCAGTCTGTGTTGTTATACATGTACCTAACAAGGGCACTGATTGTCCAGAACACATAGTTTCGGTGCAAAGATCACTCAGGTTTCTGAATCCAACAGTCTGTCAACCTCTTGTACGGGTTGTCTGCTCTCGATATCTGCCCTGAGTTGAAGTGCACCCTCACTGGCAAAAGAAAGACAGACTGGTATAATTTTTTCCAACTGGGTTCTTGCATGCATTCGGCGTGCACACAAAGACAGTAAATTCCAAAATAAGTTTGTTGCGGGTACTCTGCGTGCTCAACATCAAATGGGCATAAACTTGCATTCCTATGCAGTGAGTTCATACCAAAGGACTGTCCATTTCATTCAAAAACACACCCTCTTTTGTTCCTGCTCTGAGCGTAAAAACAGCCTCATAGGAATCCCTTGTGTGCGATATTTGTTACTGTGTGGGATTCTGTTGTCACTTGTCTGTGTAAATGGGCCCTTAGAAAGGAAATGACTACCTGAAAGTGGACCTGAATTGTAGTAGAATGCCTTATAAAGGCATTGACAGTGAAATTTGGTGAAATTGCTGGCTTTTAGAGACAGATACAGCTGCACTTGAAATCTGCTCAGAGCTGTCTCAGTGAAAATGTCACCGTGGAGTATGTGATTCAATATTCTCTCCTCTTGGCTTGTTTTCCAAACATCTGGAAACTGACTGACTGGCTGAATTCAAGCCATTGGCAGTAGGGCTCTAATGTGTCTCACTGTTGCAGCTAAAGACAAACCTGATTGTCTGGACAGAGAGAAACAGCCTGTATCAAGGTGCCATCAGTGATCAAGAAAGGCATCACATCAAATGATACAAGGCACATCAATGGATAAAACTTCCACCCGTGTCAGAGTTCCAGTGATCATGAGTGCTTGAATGCAGCACAGTGAAGTGCAATGGCACATTGTAATGCCGTCTGCACCTGGGCCATGATAGCTCAAACTATCAAGTGCTAGAATCTGGAGAGCACATGTACCCCAGTGGATGCCAAGTAGCATTCTTTGCTCTCTAGCAGAAGTGAATAAAAGTCACAGATTCTGTGATGGTCATTTGATTTATGTGAGTCACAGGTACACTGTAAAACAAGACAAACTTTACATGCCTAGCATACTGACAAGATCTTGTCATGTGGTTTCATCCCAGTTTCACTGCAACACGTCGTTCGTGTCTTGATTCCTCTTTCAAGACGTTCAGGTCCACAAATAGCTTGGATTAATTGACCACAGCCTAGTCTTTTTGTAGTATGCAACAAGTCCCAAACACTTTTTTACCTGAATGCCTACACCTTCAAGGATTGAACAAATGTTATAGGAATGGTTCACACTGGTATAGCATATTAAGTTTCAGTAAAGTTCAAAAGCAAACTTGTGCAAATGAAAGGAAAAAAACACCAAAAAACATTTGATTGCAAACCTTCATCACCAAATGTATTACCAATTTGAGGCTTTGTGGCAGAACATGGAAGAAAAGAATGTCTGTTTTGTATGATATTTTATTTGTATTCTGCCATACTCTTAAAAGAGTACTTGCTAACCACAGCCTGTAAATCTTCTGCTTGTTCAGTATCCTGCCCCCGGCAGCTAACATTGCATGTTTATAGGTGGAGAACGTTTGGGACCTGTTGCACTTGTATTGCCAAAGACTGAAGACTAACCAGCTCCATGTATTTTTTTTAGTAGAAACTTTAAGCTCATACTAATCTCATTCAAGCAACCCGTTGCAAGTACATGTATAATTGTACTGATGCAGTTGCACATGATTAATTCTGTTGAACAATCAAGTGCAGCACTGTGCTCTCACTACTTGAATGTACCATTCAAAAGTGTTGTAAGCGCACAATTCTGATTTCTGTCACATCAGGTATTACTTAGGATACCAACCTCTTTTAATATTTCTGTGCAACATTCTGTGTGATGTTGCAAGGCTGTGCACCAGCTTGTTCATTACTGAATTACTTTGGGTCATATGTCAAAGATAAAGGAAACAGGCCTCTATTTTGATACAAACATTGACACACAGTATAAAGAATACATGCAAATCTCATCAACCAAATTAGTTAGAGGATCAGCACTGTAAGAATTATGCTTAGGGACTCCATTTAAAAATAAAAACACATATAGAGCCAGGTTATTTGTAACATTGCACCCACAAAAATGTTCAGAGTACAGAAAGTGATACATTTGTCTTATCAATCCAGATTAGTCAATTTTTGTAACCTTTTTCCTTATGGGAAGGTTACTTTTTCCAAATGCTGCTAATGTTTAAGTTATAAAACTTCATAGTTTGATGTCCCCTCCCACAAGATTTTACATTTTGGGGGTGATACATGTACATGTAGGATATTACCTTTAGTTTAATTTAAGCATTGAAGCTGTAAGGTTTGGTATAGCCTTAAATCAGTTATATTTCACTGAGAAATAAAGTCAGTCAGCTTTATGCATCTTATATTTTACATCAAAGAGGCCCATTTTGGTCAAAGGTCACTTACATGTAGTATGTACTTGAAGCTGAGGCAGGCCCTAAGAAAATCTGCACAATCAAATCAGAGATCATAAGCGAACATAAATGAGTAACTTTACCATGTTGCTTAAAAATGTTGACGGTATCAGAGTGGACTCAATTTTTCCCAAAAACGTTTTTAAAAATCGTTAGAGGGGAGTTTTCTTGAAGTGCTTCAAGTTTTAAGCATTGCCAACCACTGATGCCACTTAAAAAAAACAAAACAAAAAGGCATGTCCATGTACGCTTGCATGTCAAAATAATTACGTGTATTAAAAAGATGTAGACCAACATGAAAAAGATTAGAAAATACAAAAGGAAATGTAGTATTGGCAACTAATTTAGCATTCCAAGTTTGGAATGAGCAGTGAACGACGCCAAACTGTGATTCAAGATGAACAGGCCTTCCGTATGGAGTAAAAGGTCACTCAGCGAGCTTCCGGAACCCTTGGCACCATCTGGCTATGGGGATTTTACATTGGTCCATCCTATCACATTCGATAATTTATGGAAAAATAATTCCTTACTGAAACCACCCATGAAACACTCATGTTGGAATTTTACCTTTGTCTTCCTCAAGTAATATTTTGGAAAAGTCACCTGGAGATGGGTAAGAAACTAATTTTAGTATCGACCTTTCACGTCCAGTGATATCGCACCTACATGTAGGTCTCCTTGTTCATGCACGTTTGTTTTCACTCGCCGTGCTTTCTTGAAAACAAGATTGTACAACCTTACAGAGATTTACCTACCTGCTGTTGATAGGTTCCAGATTCCGTTGAGTTGACATCATGAGTTGTTGTCAGCAAAGGTTAGATAAAATATCAGAATCTTTCGTAAAAGTAGAATATTGCTTTATGTTTATTACCTTATAAATTATCAAAATATGTAAAATATTTTGATATGTTTTCTTTTGGTTTTTACCCACAGACTACCATAATATTTCAAACCGTAAATATTCATCTGCATAAGAGAGTGCCGTATTGCACTGTTCTTCATGTATTTTAGATTTTCGGAAGTGATGGGTCAATTTTTGGCAGGATATTTCTCTTTTAGGTCAGGTAATTTTTCAATTTCTATAAATTGATATACTAGCAAATATTTTTCAAAGCCCTTTTTCCAAGTTGGATTTTTTAAAAAGAAACTGAACGAGAAAATATTACAAATTCTAAAATCTTTGCACATTACTTTTCCTATCTAAGGGTTCCAGAAGGGTGCCATCAGGGGTCATTCAGGCTCTATTTCCTGAATGTACACAAATCTTGGAGGTTCATCAAACATATACTCAAATGAAATTGCAATCTATCTTGCCCATAATTGAACATTTATTTCTACAGTGCAGGGTACAAAGACAATTCATCCCTGCACATGAATAAAAAGTGTTGCACTTTAAATAGCAGTGGCATGGATTGTTAACAGAGCAGATATCAAAGCCAACATACTATTTAAATTGGGGATTTTTTGGAAAGTTTATGTCAGTACATTCAACAGTGGTCCGATGCAGTGCGTACTGTTGCATATACCAAGACTCCGTCTTTACATGTATTACAACACGAGATATATCTAGTAATGAAACGACGGATTCCTTAAAAGTCCACCGGCACAGTACCGGTAGCTCATAAGCCTGAAGGCGCTTGAAAGAAACCTGACAGTGTAAAATCAAATCCATATTAAAAAGCAGCTTTTCTTGTGGCCTGCCTCAGCTTTGCATGTGAGCTATACACATGCACAATCCATTTGTTATGTAGACATGCAGTGTATGTGTACCCCAAACGTTGCCATGTTAGAAGACACACTATCTTTGGGTTGATAGGAGTGAGGATGTATAACCAATTGTACAGTGCATTGAATTGATGAAAACTCCAATTAAGCTTAACCATGGGTGCCGTTGCAGGAGCAGGACTGGTAGAATCCCCGTGTCGTCAAGATGCCACAGCTTCTGAGGATGCTGAGGGGTAGGTAGCTGCTGCATCCGCCGTGGCATAGCAAAAAAATGGGGAGTGTTGCCTTGGAAGATATAGGAATTGCTGAAACCAATATGTTGGCCGTGTTGGAAAGAAAAAGAAAGCAAAAACGAATGGACATTTTCATAAAATAACGAGTTGAAAATTCAGCCACCTTTTTCTTCCAACAGGGTCCCTGTCTCAAAATGAGAGATCAACTTGATTTCTATGCCACTGTACATTGTTCATCTGGCAGGGAGGCAGTATGATTTGCAAGTGCAATTGCAATGTGACAATTCTCTGTAGTAAAATAAGGAAAACCAACAAAAACAGATCTGGAAAAAGTAATGCAATTAAACCGAAAAAACAAAAACAAATAAGTATTTATTCCAAATCCCAATTGAGGGGAATTCAACAAAAAAAAAAGAAACAATTTATTGAATTTGGCCTTGTTGGTCTGAAATATTTTTTGGTTCAAACAACAAAAAAATGAGAACTTGGAATCAAATGCAACATTTAGAAAACAAAACAGCATTGTAAATACAACTATTCATCTTTATATTGGTGGTTGCACTTTGCAAAGTTCAAATATTTGTAAACTGACCGATGATGGCACAACATATTGCTTTTTCACTTGATGTACTTTTTTACTTATCTATTATTATCCAAAAGATAGAATGAAAAGAATGAAACTGCTTCTCAGTCAGGAATAGTTGAAAGCAAGTTCTTTCCCCTTGCTTCAATTGCTGGTTGCTTGCTGCTGTGTGATACATCTCTTTTTTTGAGTTACTGGTTTCCCCCATATTGCATTTGCAGCTTTCATAGGACAAATTTGGTCTCATTAGCTCATTGTCACAGTAAAGTGACCTCTTGTTTTGGCCCCAAGTCCTACAAAGGACTCATTCAGATATGTAGTTTGTACATTTTAAAGATGGAAATCCTCTGTATGAGGGATCAGCTCTCTGTAAGCTAATTGTTGTCCACACATGAAAAATAGTACATTTACCGTGTTTATACAGACTGCTTTTTGAAAAAGGAACGTGGTTTATGCAGTATTTGTAGGTTGTATTGGAGTTGTCATGGAAGTTATTTATATGGACAAGGGCTACGATAGTTGCCCTAAAAGTTTGTAACATTGTCAAATGTCGTAGAAAGCTTGCAAAATGTTAGAGTGTGTTAAATGCTTCATCTGGTTGATTCAGACACAGAATGTAACTTGTGGCTCTGGAAATGTCGGTTGCAAAGATCATGACGAGTAGCCCGTGTGGGAGGGTTCTCTTTGATGAGCAATTCTTGGGAGTAATGGAGAGATCACTGGTATCCATAGCAACACAGAGTATAAACAACCAAGATGCCCTACTTTGATAGAAAAGCATTGCCGATGGTAAGAGTTCAAGTGATCCTTGTCCTGTTGGAGTTAACTGAAGTCATTCATGAATGCTTGGATTTCAAGAGTGGGGAAATGTGTGCACATGACGAAAAAGCGATCACTAGTTGGTGCAGATAGTTAGGGGTACTCCCTGGTCTGAAGGTGTCTGTAGGGCGGGGACACACCACTTGGGTGTGCAGCAGGGGGGCCTGCATGCATTGGGCTTTTTTTTTGGCCACCCCAGAGGTCAAAGTTGAAAGGTCAGGTCAAAGTTGAAAGGTCAGGTCAAAGTTGAAAGGTCAGGTCAAAGTTGAAAGGTCAGGTCAGAGTTCAAGGGTCAGGTCAGAGTTCATGAATCTGAATTAACAGAAAACGCCATATAAACAGTATCTACTGGAAAGCATATTTATTGAAACTCAACAATCTGACTGTATTATCCAGTATTTTACTTTGCTAAAACTTTAAATACAATTAAATTGGTCCAACCCATTCTACTCATCTACATGTATTCTCGTTTTGGTGTCAATATTTCTCACTGTTATGCCTACATGTTTAATCGAGTACTACCCACTGTAGTACGATTGATTGCAATTAGTCAATGGTCTTTTTATGAACACACTACATCACATTGTAAGCTTTTATGTAGCGCCCTCCAGACAAATGACTTTTCAAGCAACTTGAAGAACTTAAAGGGATGAGTGTAAACAACAAACTTGTGAGGGGAAAAAATCTTAAATGTATGAATTGATGCAGTGCATTCATTGGTGCATACATGTAGACTGGAAACACCTGAAATTCAAGATACGAATTGAGATGCAAGACCTGCTGTCCATTTCACAGTTTTCTGCTATGACATATTGTTTGTATAACAGATACTTCACCAAAATCCTATTGCAGCACTCCTACTTGAACTCTTACATACATGTACAACTTCTGTAATGAACCTATATGCTGTCAAAATGGAACAAGTCTGTGTCCAGTAAGCATACAAAACGATGAACAGCATAGATACAACTGTTTTCAAACACTGCCAACTTGATGCGGAATTGGAGAGTTACATTGTAACTGTAAGGTTCTAACTGCATGCTTGGAAACTTGCGAAATGGACAGCAGACCCCCCCCCAAGAAAAAAGACACACAAACCAGACCTACAAATTTATTGCAAACAATAAAAAAGTCTACAGTGGCACATCATGCGTAACACATACAATACATTTTCAGCAATTAGGATCAAAAGTTTCCGTATTGTCTACCACTGGTGACTTGTTTCTTAACCATCCTTTAGAGTGACTTTTTTCTTTTAGTTTGTATTTTTAAATCGAAAATTAAAAAAGCTGCGTCAAACATATTTTTCATGAAAACCCATCATCATGCCTTAAACAGCAATTACACAAGTGTAATTTGAAAAAAAAAGGGACTTTCAGGACAGATTGTGAAAAAAATATGTTGTCCACGATGAAAAACAGCTCTTATGAAGTTGGGATTTATACATGTATATTCAGCACTGGCCAACACAACTTTAGCTTTCTCTTTTTTGGTGTAATTAACTTGCAACCACTCTTTTAAATTAAATTCCCTTTTTCAGGCGGGGGGCTGGATTGTCAACATTTTCATCTTTTGGAGGCAGGCAATCAACCAGCTACCACATGAACATATTAAGACCTCAGAAAACAATTCAAAAGTGCATTCCCCCCCAAAAAAAATACTATATAAAAAGCTGGGTAGTAATGAATGTCATTACAGAAATCAGTACAGAAAGTATCACCCATGGCCCAGTTTACATTGCCCAACACATCTGCGCATTTATGACTCTACACTGAATCACCATGTGTATGATAATGTGCCATTGTAGACTACATATACATGTAGCTCTCTACATACATTACAAATTGAAAGTCACCTTTTCGATGGGAGACTTTGAGACGCATGGTGGCGGCAGACAAACCGGTCCTTTTCTATAGTTGTGTGCATGCTCACTAACACGCATGCCTAGAACTGCACGCGCATGCCCACATCAACCAAAAAGGACCCTTGTGTCTTCTGCCACTGTGCGTCTCAAAGTCTCCCATTAAAAAAGTTAGAAATTTAAACAACCAAAAACCAGGCACATGTCTGAAAAACATCTCCAAGTTCACATTAAAAACTTATTGCAAATGAGGGCAAACGGGAATCACATTTGAAACCGATGTTTTCAAATCACTACATAGGTTTTAAATGCTGCGTCTTTTCCAAAAAACCTTTCTATATCACTGAAAAATATCTCCAGTTGACAACAAAGCAATGTTCCTCAAATTAATCTTGTACTGAAAAAAAAAACTTTGCCAGAACATTCTTTGTTGATAAGTTGCCTTCATCATTCATCCTAATTGATGTTACTTTACTTCAAACTAAAAAACCTACTGACATGTGCCTGCTTTTTGAAGAAGAAATTAAATTTTTTAATAACTACATACCGCACATACATCTTTGTACTAATGTTTCAGTGCCTAGTGAAATGTAACACAGTTGAAGCTTCATACAAGCTCAAGACTTTAGGATAAATGTAACCTGCTCCATTCAAATTAAAATTTCGAAAAATAAAACACTCGGCTCTCTTGGTTGCTGTAGCGTAATCACAAGAGAGAAAGAAGGCCAATAAGTTTGAGTAATCTGCTATGTAGTCATACATTTAGAAACAGTTTCTGACAAATCTTTCACAAGATAACAAATCAAATAAGCCAAGACTCCTTTGTGTGACAATTCATGCTTCGAAGGTTTTTAAACACTGTCCTTCAAGAAGCAGTGATTACTCGAGTTATTCCTGATTTCAATGGAGCTGGTCACTTAATTAACTCCAAGGTAATCCATAGCAATGGAAACATGACTGGTCATGAAAGTTTGGCAAAACTATACAAAGAAATGTCCAACTGCATGAATTAAGTTCTCCTCAAAGTGCATTTTTCACGGGTAAAAATGTAATCTGCTGATGGCAGAAGCTCCCCCCCCAGACTTTTTCAACTGGGGGCAAATTTGACATCACAAAAAACGGTAGTGATTTTTTTCTCAAGTTGAAATACATGTATGTTCAACTTTTGCAAATTCGTAAAACAAATATTTGATCTGCCCTCGCAAATTTGAGTTCATTGTGCATTTCGCATGAAGTATGAACCGGCTTTAATGGAGGTACGGTAGACATCAAGTGTTCCCCATCTTGGAGGATAGAAGTTCCTCAAATGATGACAGCACAGAGTCCTGAAATCTGTTGGATGGCCATTTAAGAAGTCAGCATCATCACCAAGTCTCAAGTTAGACATGGCTGATTACAAATCATCTGTTGGAAAAAAAAAGCAGAAATTTGAGGTCTCAGACAGAGGTAAATGTGTAGAACACAGAGGATTCTTCACTTAACAGCTGATCTTTATCACCTTTTTCATTGAGGTTTGTCAGATTGTACGAAATATCAATTACTGGAGCACTTACTAATCAAAACCCTCCTTTGCTATGACTGTTGCAGTCAAAATTCCTTCCACTTGATTTGCCCCAGTACATAGACATGTAGGGGTCTTTCAACTGATTTTGACAGGACAACTTTGTCAAGAATGCATCTTTTGCATAGGAGGGTTATAAATCCTTTACTAATAGATTTTCCTATGTGAGCTCAAGTTTTTGTTTTCTCTGTTTTTTGAAACACTAGAAATGAATTTTTCTTTGTAGTGTGATTACTTTTCAACTGCCAACAGCACATAAATTTGCTCACGACACTTTCCTACTGTTAGGCTTAGTTTTGGTGACTGAATAACTTCAAGGCAGTGATATCACGGCTCCTTGGCCTGCTAATCACGAACAAAGAACAATCTCTTACTTCCATTTCTACATCTGATTCTTGTACTCATTTCTTTCTCACAATAAGAATGTTTTTCCTATATGAAAAATCTAGTTTTCATCCAAAAATGGCATTCATAAAATGTGTTTTCTGCAAAAAATATTAGTAGTGGTGCAAAAAGGGGAACATTTTAGTGGAGAAAAAGTTTAATTTCCATTTCCTCAGCACAACTCGGTTGGACATTGCAGCACACATGGCAGCAGAGACATATAAATGTCACTATCATTCACCACACTTCCTTTTGTCACTCTGGAAGTAAAAGTTAATCTGAGCAAGTTACTTTTGTTTGCACTTGTTTGTTTTTTCCAAACCATCCCCATATACTTGCCAGTTTCCTCTTTTGACTGTTTAGACAGAGGGAAGCTGCAAGTCTTAATGATGTATCGAACTTAAAAACAAGGTTTAATTAGGCTTGCCACTGTGAGCTTTGAGCATGAATACATACAACAGTGGTAAGCATTCACGGATAGTATCCAACTGCGTACCCGATTCCTTTAACAGGCAGGTATTGCGGGGGGGGAGAGCCTAAATGGACTTAAAACACATTTTACTCAGATTTTTTCTCACACTTTTATCAGCAAGTAATAGCAAAGAATGGGATGATTGCCTTTCTGAAATGTGTATCGACATTTATTGGGGCAGTTTCAAGTCAATGGAACCGGGTACCCTTCATCATTGGTCTGGTTGTGGGCACCCGGGTACTTGGCATGGCCTTAAAACATTCAATGAGCTTTTAACCACTTCGCACCAGAGGACGCAAAAAAAAAAAAAAAAAACATGAAGTGGTTGCACAGAGGCATAGCTGACAGGTTAAAGCATCAACCTTGCACTGGGGAGAAATCTCCAGAAATATGCTGCAGTGGAACACTGCTGTAATGACTATACTGAACATAAAATTTTAAACTTTTACGAAACATTACAAATTGCTTTAAATAAAAGAACCATATTTATAACTGATGATGTCAACTCAAAGTTGATGACAATTGCACTCGCAACAGATAGTGTCAAACAAGAGGTGTAGCCTGTATAAAGTTCATGCGAACTTGTGTACGCATGCATGTACATGTACATCGTACACGTGTCCAAAGGAAGCCATGTAGCTGGCCACTGAGTACATGCACGTATGTAATGTACACTGGTAACTCTAACACAGAAAAATGCATGACACATGTGATTAGCCAAAAGCCAGGGGATTTGACCTAAAAAAACCCACCAAAACAGAGGAAAAAATATGCAAAGCTGCAGACCCTAGCATTTGCTATTCAATTTGTAAAATACTTTGAAATACATCTTGCTAGTTTCAAATGTTTTTAAAAATGATTGTCTGACTTCTTTGCCATCTTAGACGT